GTGCTGGTGTCTTGCCTGCATGAATGTCTGTGCACTGTGTGACTGTACTGCTCACAAAGGCCAGCAGAGGGCATCAGAACCCCTAGAACGGGAGTTTGAGATCCTCTTGTGAGCTTCCGTGTGGGTGTTGGGGATTAAATCCAGGTCCTCTGGAAGAGCAGCCACTGCTTTTGACAACTGACCTGTCTTTCCAGTCGCCTTTTTGAGAACTCTTATGAGGCTTGGGGGGCTAGTGCCTTTAAAGGTCTCTAGCAGACCCAAGCATGGCAAACACGGCGCTGGTAGGCCTTGCCCTTCTCCCTTCCCTCTTCCTTGCTAAACCATACACTACATTCTTAAAGCTAGTCGCCAATGTCCATTCCCCTTATTTGGCCACTTCCTCCCCCTGAGGCTGTCGACCAAGGTCCAGCTATCAAAGTATTGAAGTTCAGCCATCAAAAGCTCTCTTTTGGCTACCCTATAAACATGCCCAATCAAAACAAAACAACCCATCCTAATATTGGGTTTCCGTTTTTTTCCCTTTATAAACCACCATTTGCCTAAGGGCCAAGTCTATTTCCATTCTACCCAAGGGGCAGTCCTTTGTCCCTCTGGGACAAACATGTCTCCCCCCCTCTTCCTTGCCCCCTTCTCCCTCTCTCCACTGTCCCCATCTCCTGTCTGTCTTTCTGGGGCAAAGAAATCCCCTCTGTACGGCAAACTTCGTTTTGGTGTGTCCTGTGCCCCAAGCTCGAAGATAATCAGCTCTGACCATAAATAACAAGTACTAGCCATGCGTCCATGTCATTCCCATGACCTGCCAGGCAGCTACGCGGAAACCAAGGTCTTTGGGTTTGTGGGGACTATGGTTGCAAAGCTGAATCCTACAGGAACTGCCAGAAGGGCAAGGCTTGCCAGAGCCACGTTTGCCATGCTCAGACCTCCCTTTACCCTTTGAACCATTTCCCTGTCCCCTTTGTGTTTCTGAGCTGTGACTGACACATCCTTTGGTTTTTATCTCCAAATTTTATTTGGGAATTTTCATGGTGAGTGACTTTTGTTTGTGAGAGCGTCTAGGATAGCCTGAAGTTTGCTGCTCAAATAGTCGGTTTTTAAGGTGGTAATTGAGGCACACGTTTAATCCCAGGATTTGGGAGGCTAGGGTAGGAGGATTTCCAGAAGGTTGAGGCATCCTGGGTTATACAGCAAGTGCCAGGACATATGAGCTACAGAAGGAGACTTTGTTGGGGTGGGGAAAAGATTAAATGAAATTTGAAAACAAAAGTTTAAGTAGTCACCCGAGCCAGAGCAGATAAACTGAGTGGAGAAGACAGCAGTCTCACAAGGCACTTAGAGCACGCCCTGGGGACCTAAGATCTTCACCAGGACCCTGCACCAAAGATGTTATCACTTCCCAATAAAACCACACTATAGACCAAGTCTCCTAATTCTGCTGGATCTTGATAGACCCACAGATAATTTCTTTTTTCTAAATTTTGTTTAACATTTTTAAAGTGTTTTTATTGATATATTTTTTTTTCTCCGCTCCCCTCCCTTCCTTTCCCCTCCCCTTCTATCTTCTCCCGTGATCCCATGCTCCCAATTTTCTCAGGAGATCACATCTTTTTCTACTTCCCATGGAGATTAGATCTATGTATGTTTCTCTTAGTGTCCTCCTTGTTGTCTAGGTTCTCTGAGGTTGTGAATTGTAGGCTGGTTTTTCTTTGTTTTATGTCTAAGCTGATGTTTTCTAGATCCATCCATTTGCCTGCAAATTTCAAGATGTCATTATTTTTTTTCCATTGTGTACTTCATTGTATAAATGCACCACATAGTCTTTACCCATTCTTCAGGATGTTTCCACGTTCTGGCTATGACAAACGATGCTACTATGAACACAGTTGAGCATATGTCCTTGTGGTACAATTGAGTGTCTTTTGGGTATATACCCAAAAGTGGTATTGCTGGGTTTTGAGGTAGGTCGTTTCCTAACTTTCTGAGAAAACACCATACTGATTTCCAAAGCAGCTGTACAAGTTTGCATTCCCACCAGCAATGGAGGAGTGTTCCATTTACCCCACGTCCTCTCCAGCATAAGTTGTCATCAGTGTTTTTAATCTTGGCCATTTTTACAAATGTAAGATGGAATCTCAGAGTTGTTTTGGTTTGCATTTCTTTGATGACTAAGGATGTTGAGCATTTCCTTCAGTGTCTTTCAGACATTTTAGATTCATCTGTTGAGAGTTCTCTGTTTAGGTCTGTACCTCACTTTTTTTTTATTAGATTATTTGTTCTTTTGATGACCAATTTCTTGAGCTCTCTGTCTAATGTAGGGTTGGTGAAGATCTTTTCCCATTCTATACGCTGTCGTTTTGTCTTGTTGACAGTGTCCTTTGCTTTATAGAAGCTTCTCAGTGTCAGGAGGTCCCATTTATTAATTATTTCTCTCAGAGTCTGTGCTACTGGGGTTATATTTAGGAAGTGGTCTCCTGTGTCAATGCATTCAAGTGAACTTCCCATTTTTTCTTCTATGAGGTTCAGTGTGGCTGGTTTTATGTTGAGGTTTTTGATCAATTTTGGACTTGAGTTTTGTGCATGGCAATAGATAAGGTTCTATTTTTATTCTTCTACATGTTGATATCCAGTTATGCCAACACCATTCATTGAATACTCCTTCTTTTTTTCATTTTATATTTTTTGCTTTTTGTTAAAAAAAATCAGGTGTTTATAGGTGTGTGGATTGATATCTGGGTCTTTGAGTTGGTTCCATTGGTCCTCCTGTCTGTTCTTATGCCGATACCAGGGTATTTTCAGTACTGTAGCTCTGTAGTAGAGTTTGAAGTCAGGGATTGTGATGCCTCCAGAAGTTTCTTTTCTTTTTTTTTTTTTTTTTTTTTTTTTTTTTTTTTTTTTTTTTTTTTTTTTTTTTG